AACATGAGACTGGGGGGGGTGTTAATTCAACTGACAGATAACTGACAGGTGGGGGGATTGGAATGCCATGCAGGAAGGTGAAGGGAAATGCAAAGCATGGAGGCTCTGCTGGCGACTTCTTTGCAGCCATTTAGGGCCTTCAGTCCAACAACTTGGATGGGCAGGCAGGCAAGCCCTTCTTGGTGGTTTTTCCAGAATCCTTCTTATCCGCTCATCTGATTTGCAGAGCACAGAATAATTCCCTGCATTCATTCCTTGGTTTTCAGCTCCACTTGTTATGCCACCACTGCTGCCGCCGCTGAAAAAACACACCCACAAAGGAAGCCTGATAATGATACCTGGACAGATAGGATCATCTGTACCATCAGTACTTGCACAGTGTGGTTGCAGGAGATAGTAAGACAGGCACATCAACTCTGTTGGCCAGGCAACACAGCAGGCATCATTCATGAGAAAGGGAAAGATAAGGGAAGTCCAGCTCAAATGTAGAAAACCAGTAGTGCTTATGTGCAGTGATAGAAGCTGAGTATTGCTAATTACTGGTCATTGATTGTTTCTTGATTTAAGCATAAATAATGCCTATGGTTACTGAGTGCTGGTAAAAAAAGACTTATAATAAAATATTGCATATTGCCTGAGGTTTAAAAAGCTAGAGTACTGTTTCTTGATAATGGTTACCTTGTAAATGCTGTGATGGTTGCTGTGATGGTTGGTTATATCCCAGAAGGACATAAAAGGAGACTCCCCAGATGACCAGGAAGCCTGTGACCAGGGAGCCAGCAAACAGGGACTGCCAACAGAGGAAGCAGTTTGCTGGCAGTTTGCTGACCAGTTTGTGGGTAGTAGCATAGCCTATTACCACACAATCACTCTCAGGCATGGCAGCAACTCATCATATCTGCAGGCATCTTGGCATTGCTGAGACCTCCACCCAGACAGAGCCCATGGCCCCAGTGTGGGAGCTTGAGGAGAAGGTACATCAGGGCCCATGAAGATTACATCAACAGCTACTGCCAGGCCCTACTCCAGGAAAAAGAAGAAGTAGAGAAGAAGAAGGTGGAGGAGGAGAAGGTGGACACAAAGAAGACTGGCCACAGAGACCCTCCCAGAGCTACCTAGAAGACAGTAGTCTCCAGATCCAGAGCATGCAGAACTAGGGCTACTCCTCCCCTGACACTGCATAACAGGCACGCTCCCCTCATCATGCATGTGGAGACTCCAACAGAGACACCAGAGGAGGAGGTAAGTATTCAGGAGGTAAGTACTCCCACCCCTAGGAGAGGACACTGGGTGGTGATGGTGGGAGACTCTCCTGAGGGGCATGGAGGGACCTATCTGCTGTCCGGACCCCTTGGCCCAAGAGGTCTGCTGCCTTCCTGGGGCCTGCATCTGGGATGTTGCGGAGACGACCCCAGGCTCATCCATCCCTTCAACTTCTATCCCATGCTACCCCCATACTACTACCATCCACATGGGCATGAGCAACATGGCCAGGAGTAATCCGGACCTGGTCATAAGTGACTACAGGGCTCTGGATGCTGGGCTCAAGGGACTGGGGGCTCAAGTAGCTTTTTGTTCTGTGCTTCCTGTTGCAGGCCACAGATCCAAGAGGGAAGGCTATGTGGAAGAAGTAAACAGACACCTCCGACAGTAGTGCTACCACGGGGGCTTTGGTTTCTTTGACCCCAGCACACACTTCAGGGAGAGAGGACTACTGGGATGAGACGGCATCCATGTCACATGGAGAGGTAAGTCTCTGTTCTCAGCCAGGACGGCTGATCTACTAGACAGGGCTTTAAACTGACTTTGTTGGGGGATGGGGAAACTCCAAGAGGAACATGCCTAGGGATTGGCGCACAAGAAAGCTCCCACATGGAGGACACTAAGATAACTGTTTTTGAAAATGCTAATGGAACGGTTCTCCCAGAGTTTCAGGAAATCTAGGGTGTCAGTTGAGGGCCCCAGCTGCCTGTACACCAATGCTAGGAGCATGGGGAACAAACAAGCATAGCTAGCCCTTCTGCTCTCTAGTGGGCAATATGACCTGGTAGGGATCACAGAAACCTGGTGGGACTTCTCGCGTAATTGAAGTGTAGGTCTACACCCGGCACAGAAGGGACCAAGCAGGGAGAAAAGGCGGAGGGGTAGCTCTCTATGTGGGGGAGCAGTATACCTCTCTGGAGGCTGACACTAGCTCCAAAGATAAGCAGCTTGAAACCCTTTGGGATAAGCTTCAGTGGGGGTGAGGTGAGAGAGACCTAACTATGGGCATTTACTACAGGCCACCAAACCAAGAGGAGTTTCCTCAAGAACTGACAGAGCCCGCTTGTGGAAGGGACTTGGTTGTCTTGGGCAACTCCAATTACCCAGACATAGATAGGGAAGCATGCTCGGCTAGGTTGGATCAGTCATGTAGCTTCTTAACTGTAATCGAGGAAGTCTTTCTGATCCAGGAAGTGCAAGGGCCAACCATAGATACCACTCTCCTAGACTTGGTCTTGCCCAAAGGAGATGATCTGGTGTGTGGCTTGAACATTGAGGGTAGTCTGGGCAACAGCAACCATGAGCTCATCAGGTTCACTGTCTGCCGCAAGGTTGACAAATCAACTATCAGGATTGAAGTCCTGAACTTCAAAAATGCTGACTTCAACAGGCGCAGGGCATTCATAGGGGAGGTGATGTGTGACCAGGGATGGAAGGTGAATGGGGTGCGCAAAGAGTGGTCGTTCCTCAAGGACACTATTCTCGAAGTGCAAAAGAAAACTGTTCCAATGAAGAGGAAAGGTAGCAGAAGGGCTGGCAAGCCCTCCTGGGAGCCCTCCTGGCAAGCCCTCAATAGGGACATTGTGATCCTCTTGAAAAAGAAAAAAGAGGCATACACACAGTGGAAGCTACAGACAGTCCTCAAGGATGATTTGGATTAAACTTGCACGGGTGGTAGCCTCTGCTGAGAGCATGAAGTCTGCCAAGCTTCAAGAAGATAGGTGCCGGAGTTTGGGAGGAACTGAACCCCAAATTCTTGATAGCAAAACTCATGTCATGTGTATGTGTTACACCACAGGGGAGTGAAAACTGCAGGGATGGTGGCCCCTGGTGAGGCCACAAAGCCTGCCAAGTTTCAAGGTCATAGATGAAGGGGTTTGGGGGGAACTGCACCTCAAGCTGCGGACAAGTCAAACTCGTGACATCAGTGACAGTGTGTGTGTTAAGGCGCAGCAGGATGAAAGCTGAAGGGATAGTGGCCCCTGCTACAGCCACAAAGCCTGCCAGCTGTCAAGGAGATAGGTGCAGGGCTTCTAGGTGGTGGACCCTGCACCTGTAGCTGCTGACAGGCAAAACTTGTGTCATGGGTGCTTGTGCAACTGACTGTCTCT